CGGACGGACTTACCTCCGAGACGATGTCACGTTGTATTGTATTCACCGCAGCCCATAAACAAAAAAGTGTACTGCGATGCTATATATACTATACTATACTATGCTATATATATATATATATTATATACTGCGATACTATATATTCCCCAGAATATGTAAACTAGTAGGTTTGAGTAACGTTTTGGTCAGATGGGATAATTTCGTCACTGGTAGACAAATCATAACATGTGTGGATGATGGACATGGTAGGCTTCGCTTGGATAACGCGTTCAACACGTTATGAGACACAATTACAGGGGGATACAAGTGGGCGTGTTTAGGTCGAGTTGATCACATTCAGAAAATAGAGCAAGACTACAAGGGGAGAGCTCCTGGAGATAGACTGTCTCCAGATAACGCCTGCAGTGGAATGCTATTGTGAAATCTCCAGAACACATGCCTATTTTTCGGGGAGGCGGATCTTCCAGGAAAGAAGTACCGCGCGTCATGTTCAGAAGTGTAGTTAGCGGCTGTGGTGGAGACAATCAGGATAGCGCGCTGGAAAAAGACTGACATGTCATCCACTCGACCAAATAAGGTGCCAATCGAAACAATTCATTGCAGATTGGAATGAGCTAATTAAAGCTCGGGAAGTAAGAGGGCGCATTAAAATGACCTAGCTGATCAGCTCAGATGACCGAGCCAGGAGATTTTGAGGTTTCAAATTTGGATTCTGTTGTGCAAGTGAAGTCAACCTATGCTGAAGAGGCACAGCTGCCTCATCGTTGTTAGGAACCATCAGTCGAATGCATCTCACAAATTTCTCGGATACTATACTACTAACCGTTCTGAATCGCTACTCACGAACCAATCTATACTAGACTACATGACATGAACTGAGTGGGGGACATCATGTCCTGTCGATGTGCAAGCTAGCCACATGGAAGACCAACTAGCCAACCTCTGTTCAGAGTATTTCGGTCTGTAGAACATGTATTTCTGGTGCTGCTTACGGGAGAATCTGGCAATATGTGAACGAAAAGACTATCGGTGTTCACCACCGTAACAACCCACCTTAAGCGATGAACAGCGTTCGTTGTCATCTTCCTGTGATGGTTTAATTGAATTGTTATCACGTTCTCTTTCTGCATCTCCACCCGTCGCTGCATCAGAGCCAACCTGTTCACTGACATCGGATCCATGAAATACTTTTATTGTTTGTGGTTCTTCAGAATGATGCTGTTTGGTGATCGAAATGGAATAGAAACACACACACACAGAGACGAGTGTTAACGCAAAGCTCGCAGGGATATTTGGACCAATCAGAACCAAGGATATTCTGAAGTCACATGAAGTCTAATTCGTATGCAGACTTTACAACAGGCTCAGACAGCCACGGTAAGGGGTGTCAACTTTTGCCTCACAAAGTGCGAATTACAAGCCGATAAAAACTCGTGATTTCTAGAGCGCCGTAAAAGCGAAGATCCCTTCTGTCTCCCTCACTTTGTCCCTTTGCATTACTGCGTGTCCCGGCCTGTTTTACGTTGAAAACGGACAAAACTGTCTGAAACCGTAGAGACTTTGCACAACAGTGAAAAGAATGTGTGGAGACAGCAATTCTTGACTCGACAAAGAAATCAAAGGAGACCGTGCTGTACTTTGGTCAAGTGTGCTTTTGGTCAACGGTGTTTGTAATGGTGAATACGAGTAAACATAGCAATAACAAGACTGGTAGGCGTAAATTATTCGGATTTTTTGCATGATAACAAATCGGTGGAACGCACGTTTGTTTCGGCATGTGACTCTCAACGACAATGATTTATATGCCAAACTAATTTCACTAAAATGGGTGCTCACTAGATATTGAGTAGCTTCCTTGTCTGATGGTTGCTGGCGACGACCGGCGACATTTAGAGTATGCCTATTCCGGATTACATCACCACTCATCGAACCAGATTGTTTTGAATGGCCGACTAACGCCGCCTCAGAGGGCTGCAGAATGGAAAGTGAGGTAAGGGGTCATAGTAAAAAAACATGAAAAGTAACCGTTTCTTCCATATTTTCCAATGTGGGCTCAACCGTTGTAACCTTCCGAGAAAGCAGTTGGACCGCAAGATTGTCGTCAGGCAGACGTGGGAGGGAGTTGTTGCACAGTTTCGACTCATGAGCCAACAAATGTTTCGTTTCTGAATCCTAATTGCATGGTAAAACAGGCACACAACTAGCTTATCTGAACGGTGTCTGAACGGCGCCGCATCGACAGTGGTCCCTAAGTATGGATGCACGTTGTGTCACCTCCTCATTCAGGGGACTTACCCAATTCGAGGACCTCATTCATAGACTAGAAATAGTAACCGTCCAAAGCCACCATCCCGAAACCTAATACCGTCATTAGGTCCACCGTACTTTTCATATATAAACCGTGGTTTAAACACAAAAACCAGTAATAAGGAGCAATCGATTCTACTTCTCGACCTCTGTGACAGATGTGCGCAAAAATATGGCGGGTGGTTCAATACACAGTAGGTCATTTTGTCAGGACCGAACATTCCTACCCTTCTATTGTCATTTGCAAAATCCCAAGTGCACAGGATGGTAAGTAACCGGTGCTTCTCTAGGACGCTGAAAAGTTTTGAGAAAAAATTAGCTGACGATTCACCAACCGTTAGACTTCCTAACGAATCTCAACGCCCGTGTTAAGTGAAACCAATATGAATTCATTTACGCCAAAGCAAACTGCCTTGGAGAATACCGTGGTCCACACAGTAAAAGGTTCGTTTTATGCCTGGTACTCTGATTACTTGAGCAGTTTGAATGGCAGCAGGGTGCCACTGAACGCAGGTAAGTATGGGAGAATGTACGACATGTCACATCCTTCCTTCTGGTTTCAAACTCCCTTAAGGACGATTCAAAATCACGATATCTCACTCGTTTGACGAGTCTTCTTCTAGCAAATGAGATAGTGTGCACTCTGTTAGATTAGGACATACCTGGATTCTACACTGGTTGACGCCAAATGTCCAAGGGAACATCTAAGGTTAGACACCTTAGCGGCCGACAGGTGCACTCCAGAGTCTTTGGAGGTCGATCGGTTGCCTTTCAGAGGCCGATTAATCGTTCCTATTTACGCTATGGAGATGGGTTATCAGGACGGTCTCTTAGTTTTGTATGCATGAAAGATTGAAAAAAATTTCGCCAATGACATCTCACAACCACTGAGGATGGGACAGTTATATACCGAATGATAGTTTATTGTTGCCTATGACAAAATTTTGTTGAAAAAGATTTGCGGAGTTAAAAGTGCCCCGTAATGTTCCAACGAAGGAGAAATAAGAAAGGTCTGTCAGTTATTCAGTTACAAAATACGTGAAGGCGAATAAGGAAATAAGGTTTCGGATATTAGTTTCAGTTGTCCACGTCAAGTTCCACTGCTTGCATAAGATCAGCCATAAAAAAAAGATGATCAGACGACCAGTCAACCATGTTCCTGGCAAAAAGTCATACGAAAAGTGGTTGTTAAATTGAAGAGCCAAAAGAAACAGCGAAAAAGTAGGGACGAGAACATATTACGTCTATGCTCTACCCTCTACAACCTCACCTCCCTGTTTGGGCTCTAGGTAAAGGACATCTCACGGAGTCGACAAATGAGTCGTGTTGAAAGGTGCGGCCACAACATGGTCACCGAGAGGTCGCGACAACAATAGAGTACTAAACAATGATGAGCTACAGGCAACTGAATTCAGTATGCAATGATTCCTTAACAATACCGGAAACTCACCGGTGTGCGGCATGACGACCCATCTGCTTCAGGCGACTGCGCGGCACGTCTCGGTGTGGGTGATCGAGTCACTTCATGCTTGACAACCTGAATAGGAATATTGCGCGGTAGGCTGCCGGTACCGAAAGACGGAGGTCGTGGTGTGGGTTGATACATACCGGTTTCAAAACCGAATCCGGGCATTGGAGCATGAGGTCTATAAGTGGGCTGTATAGGTGCGTGGGAAAAGAAATACAAGCTTTCACGAGTTAGGAGACCTGAACGCTATTCCTGATGAGGAAACGAAGCAGAATACATACGTACTTAAAAAACAAACATAATGAATATAATGACCTTTAGTTCGAAATTCATCACAGTAGGATAATGTCATTTCCAATAGCGTGCTTGTGTTGAGACAATGAGAGTAATTTTTTAGAAAGTGGCCTAATAAAAGGTCGAAGTAGAATATAACGTGATGACGAAGTATGCGAGGCCCATCAAGTTTTCTGCTCACCTAAAAACTGTACAGTCTGGACAGGTAAGTGAACTGCGCGAGCTGCAGAAAGAACTTTCTCTGGTCCGGACAATCCCGTCGATGCTTGGGCTACTTGATGGCTGTGTAATTTCCACAGAGTCTCCTGGCCGCATGGTAGCCATGCGGCTGAAAATGGAACGACTTCCATTGTTGAAAGAAGCCTTTAATAACCACCTCATGGTTTAACCTAACGGTCTTTGTCAACGATTTTGAGTCAATTATTATCCGCTTTTCAACTTAAACCGAGACTTTCCTTACAGGGTGAAATCTAAGTTGAGAATTTTGAGTCATCATTGTGATACGTCGGACAACGCCAACGAGAATTACAATCACACGCAGACAGTTCACATGTGAACACTGGGGCTGGAGTACATCATAGGAAGAACGCTGACTCACATAAGGTGGCATCTCAAAATAAGGAGGAAATGGATCCTGCACGTATTGGACATAAGGGTCGTGGATGGGCGGCATCGGATAAAGGTTGGATGGCTGCTGTGACATCATGTAGTTTCCGGGGTAACGGAATCTCTCATTCGTTGGATTAGGCTGTAAAGGAGTTCCTTCACATTAGTAATTGATAATAATGGGAATAAATACCCAAATGTTTCGAAGAGGCACGATTAAAACAAGTTTCACGAGCAAAAGTCGTTGAACGACACTTAACCATTTAAGAAGTAATTGTTTAACACCTTTTTAATGCACAGCTGTTATGCAAACCGAAAAAAAACATAGAGGGAGGTATACCGCTAGGTTTCCTGAACAATCTGGAGGCAATGGTTGGGTTCGAACCACGAATCTTTCTGTAAACCGCTTAGCGCTCTAACCACGGAGGTACACGGAAATTAATCTCAACAACTCTGAACAAGTGCGTGACATGCAAGGTTCGTTAACTGTCATTGCTCCGAGTGAAAAAAGTTAGGTGCATCTGAGGCATATTCATCACCATCAGCTTCGGACCCTGATCGGTTTATACGTTGGTTCTAGTTACCCTGATCGATTATGTTAGAGAATTAGGCAATGGATTACAAACCGGCGGGGTTACAAACACTTTTATGATGAATGAAGGGCCGGAAGGGGGTGGCATTGCACTAAGATGGATCCATGTTACAATATTACTAGGTTTTCTTCAGTTTCTCACAATTCTGCTATCATATACTCATGTAAGTCAACGTCACCTTGAGCAATCAGAAAGTGAGACCATTTGCCACAACTAAGAACATTCGGGCCGTTCCTGATCAGTGGACTTTGTCCTGATAATCAAGAGAACCACCGAAGATCACACATGGTTTAATTTTAATCTGTTACAACAGCGTAGAGCTGCACTGATCCAGAACCAACGGCTCCGTTTCGCATAGTTACCAGCGTGTGCCATAGACATTTACATCATTTTCGATCGATGGCTGGATACCCTTGACAAACAAAGGTTCTGCTGAGATCATCATCATCATCTGAGGCAGCAACATCAGTGTCGACACCGATGATTTAACGTTTCACAGTTGGTATCTCTCGTCAGTGGAAAGCAAGCACTTAATAAGATAGACTATCAGGTGTCTAGTTTTTAGTGAGATAGTGATGCGACAGTGGATTTTGAAGGTGTGGCCTCTGCATCTTCTGTATTGTTTGTATTGGGTTTGCCTACTTCGAGGAAAGTTTTTCACGTAAATTGAAGCAGTTAAAATTGAACCTGCGTAGGACTGTGCGAAACACTTGAGGAAAAGGAGCGAATTGGCTGCGTGCGTTCCGTCGTATTTAAGGAAAGAAATATTAGGTAACTGGCCAAATTTGTAATGAGTACGTCAAGCAGTTATCGATAAGCAGGACATGCCTTTCGCACCGACCTACTTTCAGTCTAAAGCCGTTTTAGTTATTCGTCTATTCAGACTTTGCAAAGTATTTACCACGTATGTTGTTAACAGTACGATTGGATGAAACCTCGAAATAGCTTCAGATAAGCAGTGGGGAAACAAAGTGTCTAACTGAACTACACTGACCATTAGGCGCGTTCCGGGGCAACCGGATGTCCAACATAGCTGATTGATCATAATACAGCATGGCCCAAATAAACATCATGATTACTCAAATCAGTGATTTTTAGCTGAATAGTGGGCTAGTACCTGTCTCTGAAATTCGCGTTCACATCCTGGTGCTGACACGCTACATAGCTAGGTGATTGACTGTGTTGTATGCGGTTGTGGTACGTATTTGGAACAGGCGGGTACTTAATCGCAACAACTACATTAAAGGATGTTGTTTGGAGAGAATAAAGAATCCCAAAAACGAAAAGAAATTAGCTTTTGAAGTGCACTACATTAGGGTGTCGCTGTATACGTTTACGAGGATACAAAGATGAAGAACATTCAGTGCAAGTTCGTTGAGTCAACAAGTTCAATAGAATGTGAATGAATCAGTTCCAGATCGATGCATAACCCGCACCAACGCGACCGAGCACCACAATAAATATCACTCATATAGCCTAAGGCTATGGGCGAATCGGTTGCAAACTGCATTGTTGATTATGAAACCACCACGTAATAGAGAATTACATCGGAATCCTCTAAATGATTTAATGAATTGTGAGGTATAGCCCGACAGTTCCGAAAGCATGTTCGTCCAAAGCAGTGATCCGTCAGGTGTTTACAGAAACATGGCCGACAATAAAAGGATTCGGTTGAACTACGGTTCGATCAACCACCTCTCGAAATACAACTACAGAGATAAAACCGGGTTTGTCACAGAATACTTGGGAATAAGAATGTTCTTGCACTAGTGATAGACAACGTAGGATATTAATCGGCTTGTCCAAAACATGACTGACTGATATTGAAACCACAAAACGCACGTACCCGGTAGTTGGAGTTCGTTGTGCTGCGTGGGTCTTTCCACGTAGTGGTCTTCGTATTGTGGTCTACATAATAATAGTTTCCGACACCTGGATGATAAACGCGTTCCCAACCAGGTGGCAAATCTAGTTGATCCATAGGTTACTCTGCGGAATCAGCTAAAAGCAGAGACAAAATAGATTGATCACCAGTGACCTTTCCACTACCACTACTACTCTCCCAGACATACGGGGATGATGGTCCGCTATTTCGGTTTGAGGGCATACCGAAAAATTAGCTTGGTGGTGGTGTTCTTCTGGCGCAGAGAGATTATTTTGTTGGCTTACAGATGGGCGGTCGTGGGCGTGTAGTAAGAGTGGTAAGTAACTATAAGATAGTTGCAGCAACAGAAATCCTCCTCATTGTTTCCAAATCTATCCAATCCTAACCTGATGAGGTCATTATAACTAGCAGTATTGACGAAAGTATCATCACTATATTCAGCTGTAAACCTGAGTACTTGTTGCACACATTTTCGTTTGCTGATAATCTGCGGAGTAGGTGTGGATAGCCACACCTTGGAGGCGTTAGCTGACATAAGTGGTGCGTGAATTCAGGATTTCAGTGGACATTTCAGTGGGGAGGGGGGCCAAGAGAGAAAGCTATGCATTGAAGGCAACGCCTCGGACGCACGCGCGTAAATCAGTCGTCTTTCAACGACACTAACAGCTGATGTGTCTCGACTCAGAGTCTCCAGACAGAGAGAACAGTGAGCAGCACAGCTGAGTTCGCTGGTATTGGCTTTCACACTCAGCTGCCAATTTACTACCTGACTTCCCCTGGCTCGTTATGACCCCTCGCGTGGTTGTATGAAAAGCTTCTCTGATGAACTCGGTCGACTGGCATACGAAGAACGTGACCAAGCAAGCACAACCTAAGGAATGTGACCAGTTCACCTATTATGAGCAGGCTATTCCTTTCGAAAACCATTCGGCGGACTTCAGCATTACTGATCAGATGTCACCACCAGACTCGGGCAATGGGCCGAAGAAATCGATGGTCAAACACTGAAGGTTTCTTATCGTCTCCAGCTCAAAATAGCCACAGTCCCAACAACAATATGCGGAGAACCACGGCATTGTGACCCCTTACAGACAAGCTGATGTCGTGTCTGCGCCATGAGTGATGCTGACTCACAAGAGTTGCTTTAGCACTACCGATCCGCACGGAAAATATCGTCCTTGGTTTGACTACTAGAACTGATACTGAACACTGATGTCATGCTGTCGATGGTGATGACTGATACAGCTATCCAGGTAGATAAATATGTCTAATACCTCAATCAATCGCAAGTACGAGGTTGAAGGTGGAGCCCACTCAGCCTTGAAGCAGCATTATACACTTATGTGTGTACAGCGATTGCGGAACGATACGGAAGTATTCAGATTATTTACTATCACCTGCATTAAGACGGGGTCAGACGAAAGAAGAGTTCTGTCGTCTGCCTACACTTCATCAACGAGTGAACTCACTATAAGAGAGGGTGAGATGGTTGTGGTTAGAGCGTGAAATTACCAACCGGAAGGTCCGTGCTTCAAAACCGACCTCTGCCTCTCGACTTCCCCTGTGCAGGCATGGACAATCTGGCAGTATCCCAGCCCTCGTGCCTCCTTCTGGTGGCATGGCAGTTAGGCGCCGGAAAGGTGCTACAGCTGAACGATTTTCCCCCGGGAGAATTCGGACCCCACAAACACTAGAGGCTGCGAGAGAGTATTCAACAATCTTTTACCTGTAACACCCTGTCAGTGCATAGCTACCATGCCACGCAAAATAAGCAAGGGAGACGAGAAGCTGCCCCGTTGTCCAAGCCTAGACAGGACCAGTCGATGTGCAAAGGTTGAGTTCGAACCATATCCTTCCGATCAACAAGTTCGCGCCTCAACTACGGAGCTATCACCATGATCACATCAATGGCGACGTTGAATCGGAAAGGCGAAAGAGAACAGTCTTCCCTGGCATCACTCGATGTAATGAACTCAGGCGAGAGCTTGCCGTACACCTTTACGTGTCTACGGGGATGGGCTTTAAAGAGGGCAAAGAATCTATCGGGAACACCTTTGCTTCACAGACACCACCATACTGCTTGACGGTCCACAAAGTCAGAACCAGCTTTCAAGTCAAGGAACACCACCACCAATCTTGGTTGCTGAAAGCGGTGTCACAGTTCCAGAAGATGAAAATGTGATTGATGTCTCCTTCTGCAAGGCGTAAACCAGCTTGACTTTCAACGGAACTGTCCCTTTGT